TCTACAACGGCACACAAATAAGAGCTGCGACGATAGCATAGGCACCTGGGGCAAGTTTTACTGGTGAAAAGCATTTTTTGCTCTGCGGCATGCCTTGTGCGACATGTTTTAAACTTTTAATTTTGTAGAATAATTTCCAAAGGATATATCTTACAAAAAAAAAAAAACAAAGAGCATCTACTCTTGATATCGCACAATAGAAAAATATTGCTTAAGAGTGTGTGTATATATTTCTTAATAATGCATTAGAAAAGTTTTACGTTTCTATTAAGCATTGCTTTCTTTTATAAGCAACTATAGTAGTATTTACTGGGTGAAAGTATTTAGTCTAGATAACAAAATAATATAATTTCTACATTAAAGAAAAATCAATTCAATTGACTGGATTTCAGGAGCAATAGTAAAACAGACAGAATAATTATTAGTAGACTGTTCGTACTCTAAATTGTCAGTTTTGTTTAAGTAATTTAATGATTCAGCAGCAGTTTTATTAAATAAGTTAATTCATAAAATAAAAAATTATATCAAAAATTTAAAATATCAATTTTTCATATACAAACATAATGGTTGACAACATAAAATTTATAGAGCGATTATCTAAAATATATTTTTTAATTCAGACTTAAATACTGAAATAATACTCTAACATAAACCAGTCACACTTCTTCTACATTAAGTTTGTATTATTTGAAACTTGGATTTATAAATTTAAAATAAGTTTTGTATAACTAATAATAATTACAAACTACATATAATTTATCTTACAAAGCGTACATTCAACACAAAAAGTATTCTGAATTATTAAATACAATACAAAAAAATTTTCTACTACAATTTATTTGTGCTCCAAGAACTGAAAAAATACCAGGTGTTGTCAAGCCTGGAATAAAGTACCTGTTCTATCACATTTGTTTAATTTTTTACAAATAAACTTTTGCACAACGATAGTTCTGTACCATCGCAGAACACTCAAAAGCATAATTACAATAACAGCCGAGGTGGACATACAGATCGCATTCCAAAATTGGCAAAGGTAACACAGTACTTACTATAAAATTGACTATAAAAACAGTATCTTCCACACGGCAATTTCAAATTATTAATTCCTACCATTTTTAAACATAATGTATTTGTCCACTATCTATTTATATTTGTCTACCATCTGTGAAAAGATGGTATATATAATAGTATACAACTAAATCATGATTAGTTGTATACCTTAACTCAAAATATAAAAACAAAATCATCATGAAGCTTAAATGCATTTCTAATAAATATTGAAAACATGTGATCGATGTCAACAAATGATACCGTAAAAACTGGTTAAAGATACTATCGGGTGAATAAGGTGAACTTTACACAATAAAGCGACACATACACAGATATCCACAATGCTCAGATTCATCTTCATAAAACCTGTTTAAAGGAAACAACGAAACTCTTTAGGAAACTACAAATCCTATGGTTAGAGATCGTAATAGGTGGAAATCTTATTTTGGTAAATGAGGTTTATTTGTTTCCGTAAATAAACTTTTTTCAGATGAATATGATCTTATAAAAAACAAAACGTAATTATATTTAAAAGCAGTATTTAAAAAAATGACACCAAAAATTTATAAAGGAAACAGTAAATCAATCCATAAAACATTTATAGCCACTGCCCATTATTGGTAAATAAATGTAAAGCCTGGTCAGCTAAAAGTATTTAGAGAATAGTTTTCATATTTAGAGTTGCTGAAACAATGCATACTATGAGTTTAGAATAGGTTAGATTAAACTAGTTAAAACCAAGATCCTAAGCATAGTCTCGCAATTCCTTATTGATATCTATTGGAGACAGGGTTGAGAGAATTACTGACATTCCTATATGTCCATTACTATTATAGTTCAATCTCTCAATTTAAATTTATATAAATATTTCTACGTATCACATAAAACGTAGATATATACACGTATATCTAAATAGATTTTATATAGATGTTTCTACTAACTATATCATGTATCCATATATCCATATTCAGATAACAGCAGTGGATAACCAGTAGATAAAAAAGTACTGCAACAAAAAGTATAAGTTTTGTGAATGCTGAATTCAAGAATTCAAGATACAGCTAATATTCCATCACGACCTACTCTCTTAACTCTCTTTTTCTATTCCTAATTCATAAAATTAATTGTTTGATATAAATTTTAATAATTATTTTATATATAATTCCTTTTAGATTGGAGTTCTTTCAAACATGGATAAACAATGGCGAACCAATTGTTTACTGGCTTTCTGGATTTTATTTTACTCAATCTTTCATAACGGGTGTCTTACAAAATTATTCCAGAAAAAATCATTTCCAAATTGATATGATAGAAATAAATTTCGAAGTTACCAAATTTGAAATGGAAGCTGAAAGCTCTCCATCATTGGGTGCTTATATTAGAGTAAGTTTAGATTTAAATGTGCAATATGAAAACAAAATAGATCAACTGAAAACAAAATTATATAATTACACTAAAATATAATTATTATCATTCCTTCAAATGCTTACACTTCCTATTAAAGGAACAAAAGTCTATAAATGACGAGACTAAATTTTTTCATGTAAGACAAGACAGTTTAATAAACAACTAAAAACTTATTGCAATTTCTATTAATTAAATTAAAAACAATTTAGTATATTTTTTTTTAATTTCCTTCATCGTTATCAAACAGGGTCTCTTTTTGGAAGGAGCACGTTGGAATCGAAATTTACAAATGATTGATGAATCCTATCCTAAAATTTTATTTGATACAATTCCAGTTATATTCTTCCGTCCCTCACTAAAAAAATTAGACCATGCAGAAGTAGAGATTAACTTACAACAAATATACGACTGTCCGGTGTATAAAACCAGTGAACGCCGTGGTGTGCTCTCCACAACTGGGCACTCCACCAACTTCGTTATGTATATGCAACTTAACTGCACAATGATTCCAACGCACTGGATTAATCGCGGTACTGCAAGTCTCTGTCAATTGGATGACTGAAAACTCTATTGTGCGATTTTCAAAACAAATTATTAAGTTGTGATATATTTTATGATTACATTCTGTTAAAATTAATATTATATTTTTATACTTATTTTTTGAATAAATCGAAAAAAATTTTCAAAGTAAACTCTTGAACAAGTTGTATTATAGCAAAAAGAGATTCACTATGATCGCAATGCTTTGCTCACTAAAAACCTAGGCTCATACTTTATTGTAATTCTAGTTGTAAATATTTATATTAATTTTATTTGTTTGATTTAAAAGGTATATGACTTAAAACATAACTTAAAAAGGAAACAACCACAACTTAAGCTCAAAGTTTTATAGAATTAATAATTAAAAAACGATATAGGTAAGTTAATCTTTTCAAGCCTGGCGACTTAATGTTTACGTCTAAAGTTATAATCGAAACAGACCAATGATGTTTAATACTTCCACAGAAAATTAGACGATCTAGAAGCTAGTACTTCCACTCTATTTCTGGAAATAACGTTTTTATCGTTCATATGTGTTTATTTCTCCAACAAAAGTCACATTGTAACACTCTATAAACATTCTTAAATTAATATTTTCGATATATATGTTATATGATGATTATTAAACAGTGCATTTTTAAAGCGCATCACTAACTGTTGAATCATTTTTGGACATTTTTTACTACTAACTTGACTAACTTTTTTGAACAGAACTTGAGCACTCGAGGTATTTTCAAAACCCCTCTTTACGCCTTGACTGGATTATTGTTTATCACTTCATAATATTATTCATCTCATAATAGAATAAGGAGATAAAGTAAAACTCATAAGCTCCGGATATACAAACATTTTGCGTTCACAAACATTTTGGATGTTAATTTTTCAACGTTGTCTAGTAAAAAGATAATGCTAGACAACATGCCTTAAATGCCGTGTTATAGAAAATAGACCCTATATGTTTAATATTTACATTGTAGCTTTAATTATAATATTAACAATTTTCGTAATTAAAATTTATTTTACGTATAATGTCTTGCAAAAATTATATCATATTTCGTATATGAAAATGTTATTTATTTGAAATAATTAATGTGAAATATATTATTTTTAATTAAACAAATAAATTAAGCATTATAAGCAAATTTATTTATAGACAATTACTTTATGCTAAACTCTTTAATGATACTAAAAATAGCTTCACTTAAAACACTTCAAAACAAATATCTTGAGTGTTTGAATGTGGCTCTCATCTGTCTACCATATAAGACTTCCGCCAGTAATTAGAGCTGTTAACTCCCATTGAACTACCCACACGTAAATCTTAAGCGTTAAAATCGTTTAAGATACAAAAGTCGAAATGTAAATTTATACAAAATAAATTTAGCATTGTATAGATATTTGCTTACTTTCGATTTTTGTCTACCATATTTGCTTATTGTAATACAAATGGTAAGTCGTTGTTAAGAGGAACAACAGTTGAAGCAGTAAAATATCTAACATCATTGAGTAAATACTTCTTCATGTGAATAAATACAGCACGTGAACGATATCTGAAGATGCGTTCAAGTGAAATATATGTGTACGTCGATTGCTAGCAAATGGCAAAATAAGTACAGAAAAAAACAGGTTTATAAAATAACAATTATTTTAGCAGAAATAAATGCTTTATAAGAATACTTCCGAGCAGAATTTATAGGTAAATATTTTTAGTATAAATACTGTAAATGCTCTGTGATTGAAACATATCAAACACAGACTTTAACGCATAAACACAAACGGATTTTTAAAATGGTTAGCATATTTTAATCAATTTAAAAATAAAATTGGATAAATATTTAAATATAAATAATTTTGTTTACAGAGGTTGTTTATAATTGCCTTTGCTTTGGTGGCCGTAACATCCGCTGCTTCGATATCAAATGAATATCTTGCGCCAGTCGCAGATAACAATTTACCAAATCAAGAATATTTACCACCTACTGAGGAAGAACAATCAAAGCTGGCTGATGATGGATATCGTTATAAAGTTGTACGAAAACTAAGACTTAGACACCGTCGTGATGTTAGTGAACTACCTGCCAATGATTATTTACCACCCACCGAAGAAGCGCAAGACGCACCAGTTGCAGTTGAAACTCCAGTTGAAGACACCGTAAAGGCTGAAGATGGTTATCGTTATAAAGTAGTACGTCGTTTGAAATATCGTCATCGTCGCGATGTCAACGAACTACCAGCTAATGATTATTTACCACCTACCGAAGAAGCACAGGACGCACCACTTGTAGAAGAAGCTCCAGTTGAAGACACAGTTAAAGGTGTTGATGGTTATCGCTACAAGGTAGTACGTCGTTTGAAATACCGTCATCGTCGCGATGTTAATGAACTCCCTGCTAATGACTATTTACCACCCACCGAAGGAGCGCAAGATGCACCAATTGCAATTGAAGCTCCAGTTGAAGACACATTTAAAGCTGATGATGGTTATCGTTACAAAGTCGTACGTCGTTTAAGATATCGTCATCGTCGCGATGTCAACGAACTACCAGCTAATGATTATTTACCACCTACCGAAGAATCACAAGACGTACCAGTTGTAGATGAAGCTCCAGTTGAAGATACTGTTAAAGCTGCCGATGGTTATCGTTACAAAGTCGTACGTCGTTTGAAATACCGTCATCGTCGTGATGTTAATGAGCTCCCTGCTAATGATTATTTACCACCCACCGAAGAAGCACAAGAAGCACCAGTTGCAGTCGAAGCTCCAGTTGAAGATACAATAAAAGCTGATGATGGTTATCGTTACAAAGTTGTACGTCGTTTGAAATATCGTCATCGTCGCGATGTCAACGAACTACCAGCTAATGATTATTTACCACCTACCGAAGAATCACAAGATGCACCAGTTGTAGATGAAGCTCCAGTTGAAGATACTGTTAAAGCAGCCGATGGTTATCGTTACAAAGTCGTTCGCCGTTTGAAATACCGTCATCGCCGCGATGTCAATGAACTTCCTGCTAATGATTATTTACCACCTACAGAAGAATCACAGGACGCACCAGTTGTAGATGAAGCTCCAGTTGAAGATACTGTTAAAGCAGCTGATGGTTATCGTTACAAGGTAGTACGTCGGTTGAAATATCGTCATCGTCGTGATGTCAATGAACTTCCAGCCAATGATTATTTACCACCAACAATAGAAGCACAAGACCAAGAAGTTGCTGTACAGAATCCCGAAGAGACTGCAGTTTTAGCTAAAGATGGCTATCGGTATAAAACTCTTCGTCGTTTAAAATATCGTCGTCATTGAAGCATAGGAAATTTAATACTCAAACAAATCTCATAGTTTAAATACAATATAAAACGAAAATATAGTATACACTGGAAAAAAAATAAAAATCTGATATAAAACATTTAATATTTTTTATTTCGGTTTAGCAAGTTTTTGTTAAACACTCAATGGTAATATGTTATACAGAAGTGTGGAAAGCTTTTCTTATCAATAACTGCTCTTATCTAATCAAGATTCGTTAAAAATATTCGTTAAAAAATGTAATGGGAGTGACTCCACTTTTGTTGGCGAAATTTAGTTGAAAAACGACTTTTGTGCTTTCATATTGAAATTTACGAACGAATTAAAGTAAATTAAGTTTTTCATTTTAAAAAATATATATAATTTATTAAACGAAATATAAATCGAAATGAAGCTGCTTAGAAATAGCTCAACATATTTGGTGATCTTCTTGAGTATGTAAAAATTGTTTTAAAAAATAATTAATAAGTGAAACATTTACAAATAATATTATGAGAATTCATCACATTTAATTTTAAATTGAAAATTTACGTGTGTGCATATTGCTACGAACTTATTACAAAACTTAACATAGTTTCATTGCTTATCAGCATTTGGTTTATTTACTTATGATAAGAAATTACTCATAACATTAAAAAAACTGGCATGAATCAGATTCCAGGTGAATTCATGAAATTTTTACAATGGGAACATCTAAAATTTCTTAAATAAAGTATATAAAAAATTTAAAATTTTATAAATAAATGAGGAAATGTATATATACAATACTTAACAAAATGTACTAATTGAAAATTATTAATAAATTATTAATAATTGTCTAGATTATAGATAAAATTATATTCATGAGTGTATTTATGTGCTATAACTAATTTAATTTAACCACTGTTATGTATTTTATGATGTCACAATATTGTAGTGAGAGTGTATTGATAAATTTTTAAAACTATTAATTTTCTATACATTTGGCGATCCAACATAACAATATAATTTTATCCTTGTATCATCATCAATTACACAATGTGAACCATATATTAATTAAACCTAACATGCATACGGCTTATATACCCATGCTTTCTGAATTAATATTAATATTAAAAATGCGTAGACAGAGCTTTTGTAGAGAAATTTTTATAAACCCAACTACACTAATCAGTTTTGTGCTGCTAACATAAGGCATTGTATTTTTATTATAATTTTATTGGAAACTAGTACAATAGCTAAACTATAACATTAACATGACCAATATGTGACCATACTGCAAATACCTGGTGTCAAAAAGTCTTGTTTACATTGGACGATACCATGTATTTATTTAAAGTGTTTGTATAATTTTTTTGTTATGAACCCAGCAGTTTTTAGTGATATCAATTTCAGAAGAATCACAATGGCATCGATGCTTTACTCATGCTTTAAGCAACTTTGAGGAATCAAATTGGGGAATATGGGAATATTTTGTAAAAATTTTAAAAATGTTTGCATAATCACTGATGCATCGATTCTTTACTCTGCTAGGAACCTCCATAGTCGTGTATTATTCTTGACCGCGTAGAGTAGCTTTCAGCAATCAGCGTATTGCTGTCTCCATTGAGTATTATTATAACAGTAGATTCTTTCTCATCCTATTATTCTGTTAAAGGCTTCTAGGAACCTTCATAGTCGTGTATCATTCTTGATCGCGTAGAGTAGCTTTCATCAATCAACATATTGCTGTCTCCATTGAGTATTATTACAAAACAGTAGATCGTTTCTCATTGTATTGTTTATCATCCTATTCCAAGATTCCGAGATTTTTATCAGCGAATATCGAACTAAATATATTTCCATTCCGCATATCTTTATCCATTGAAGCTGTTTAGTTAAGCTGTTTGCTTACCTATGCCAATTTTGAATCATTATAGAATCATGCTGTATATATTGAAGCAACCCATAAATCGTTATTGCACCCACAATGTCAATAATTTGTTTCTTAAAATCATTTAATATGCACAAGGCTTTATCTTTAAAAATTTTTATACACTATGAGTATTCATATATTATCTTAATCCAATTAAATTTATTTTATACCCAGAACTCATAAATATACCTACATTTTATTCACTTTAAAAAACTTTTACAATCAAAATATAATTAACATTAAACTTAATGTCAAAGAGGAACTATGAGTGCAAATATTAAAATTCATAGCCAAAGTCTACAGATACACTAATACGTAACTTCATCAAACAAAGCTCATCCATTATTGCAATGCTAGGTTGCAAAAATCAAAATCAAAAACTAAAAATTATTTTATTTGAAATCTCATAAGAGCACACCACGTAACTGACAAAAAAAAATGCTACTAACATATACATATACATGTACATAAAAAAATCAACAGTGGCGTTTGCATAATATGTAAAATATATTTAAAATAAATTATTTATACAATAACTAACCATATTAAAATTTTTGATAAAATGGTTTTTTGGTTCATAAATTATTAAAAAAAATAATAATAATTATCACTTAAATTGGGATAGAAACCGCCACTGCATCTTTTTGCAAAGCAAGCTATGTCAGCGGGAGCGTATAATAAACTCACATACCATATTTCTAAGTAGTCCAACATCATTTCAATTTTTAATGGACATCGATGCAACTCAACACTGTGAACTCAACATCGACATCAGTAAAAATTCACTTTAATTCAAAATATGCAACCGGAAGCACGATACCATAATCCGCCAAATGTTTTTACCACAACGAATAGTGTTTAATGCACATACATAACCGGGAATGATGCATAGTCTACAACCGCGTTTTTTTTCTTTTTTCTATTTCTATTTCTTTTTGGAGAGATTTTAGTACTTTCGTTTTATAACAGTGCCGGATGTTGTGTCCGTTGTATTTGAAGTTGTTAGCTTGTTTTTGTTGTGGCGGTTGTTATTGTAGTTATTGTTGCTTTTGTTGTCTTTGCTGCCTTTGTTACTATTTTTGTTATTTTGTTTTTGCTGTTTTTGTTTTTATTTTGAAAATTTATTCACATTTGATGGACGGATTTTAGTTAAAGTTTATTACTGCGGATTATATTGAGTTTAGTTTGGATGCATTTTGGAATTTTTAGATTTATTTCATGATGACTTTTTTCTTTATTTCAATTCACTTAATAAAATTTATCTTCCTTCTACTACTGTAGTGGCATTAAGTTATATCATCTCCACTGTATTTACAGGTGCATTTTATACAAAATTAGCATTATTTGTTATTTACTGTGATGGTTATGTTTGCTGTAAAAGTTGCCCATAAAAATTTATATATGAATTTTTATTATTATTTCTCTGTTAAATAAAGCTTTTAAATAATTCAATTAGTGTGAAGTTCTTGTTTTACATTCCAATCCAAAAACAAAAAAAAAACATTAAACTTACAAAATAGTTTGTTTATTGAAAATAATTTCAAACGATTTACTTTAAGACCGAAAAGCTTTCGGAAATTCTCATTTAATTCGCGCTCTGTATATTTTTCGATATTTTAAGTTTATGTATTTTGGCAGCACTGTCCTTAATTACTATGCCAAAAATGAGCGCGATCTGTCAGACAGTTCGTTTACGGCAGCTGTTGAAACCAGTTCACCTCAGTATTGCGTTGCGAAAAAAACAATGGAAAAAAATATTGAACAAAGAGTTTGCATCAAATTTTGTGTTTCGAACGAAATTTCGTGTGCAGAATCGTTGCGAATGCTACAAAAGGCTTATGGGGAATCAGTTTTATCGAAAACTCAAGTTTATGAGTGGTACAAAGCCTTTCAGGACGGTCGTACGACCGTCGAAGACATTTCGCAACGCACTACTGAGGTGAACTGGTTTCAACAGCTGCCGTAAACGAACTGTCTGACAGATCGAGCTCATTTTTGGCATAGTAATTAAGGACAGTGCTGCCAAACTACATAAACTTAAAATATCGAAAAATATACAGCGCGCGAATTTTAAATGAGAATT